TGGGAGCATGCCTCATCGTGATGATGGCGGGCATGCCGAACCCAAGCGAACTCGCTTTCCGACCACATTTACACGATCCCGAACTACCACTACGTCAAGACGCTGGCGAGGCCAGCCAAGTGGACGGAGCCCGGGATGCCTACGCTGATGGCAAGCTCCCCCACACGCAAATTCGAAGGTCGTGCAGACCGGCCAAATCTACGGCCAAGCACAAAAGTGAAACAGACAATGGTGGCCAAAGCTCTCCTCGACACTTACTACGCGACCCACCACAAGAACAAGGCCCTGGAGAAGCCCGATCCAACGGACATGAGTGCCTATGCCTACCCCGGCCTCTACTACACGATTCACCGCGAGAACAGGTCCTTGGAGGTACCCAAGTCGATGTACATGATGGCCCAAGCTCCCCTGGACCCCTGCTACACGACCCACCAAGAGAATACGGCCACAGAGAAAAACCAGGTGACGGACATGATGGCACAAACTCGCCTCGAACCCTACTACACGACCCACCACGAGAACAAGGCCCCAGCGGCGCCCGAGTTGACGTACATGATGGATTATGCCCACCACGACCCCTACTACACGATCCACCGCAAGAACGAGGCCCCGGAGGCATCCGAGTCGATGTGCATGGTGGCCCAAGCTCCCCTGGACCCCTACTACACGATTCACCGCGGGAATGCGGCCATAGCAAAGAATCAGGTGACGGACATGATGGCAAAAGCTCGCCTCGACCTCTACTACACGACCCACCACGAGAACAAGGGCTCAGCAGCTCCCGAGTCGACGTACAGGATGGCACATGCCCACCACGACTCCTACTACACGACCCGCCGCGAGAACAAGGCGTTGCAGTGCAACCACAGGTCCTACATCCCGGAGCAGAACTATGTCAGGAAGAACCACTCAACCTATCTTCTGAGCTACATGCGGAACATGACCACTGTAGAGCACCCCCACCTCCTTTACCAGACGGCCACGACCCATCGCAAATGTACTCGGGGACGCCTGCCCCTCAAGACGATCCCTACTCGGGTGGACGGAACTCGGCATCGTCCTCTACCTGTCCCTGCGACTACGGCCAGAACGAACCAGAGAGGAAAAGGCCCAGAACAGGACGGCACAACACCCTGGAGGACGGGAAGTACAACAAGCTTGTGGACAGATTGAACGAATTAGCCGAGTGGCTAGTGGCAAGATGGGAAATCGGCCACCAAGTCAGCGACATGGTGGACTGCACCTACACCGCTTTCAGCCACCTCCACCTCGACCCTGAGCACCTTCAAAGAGCTAGGCGGCTCTTCCGGCACATATGCTGCGGGGTACCTGGCAGCCCCACGGTACGACAGGTGTCCGCCCTCCCACGAGAACAGGAACAATGGCGCCACAACATTACCAAGGCGATCATCCAGTGGATCTACATGGAGGACGACACCGACAACGAGTACATGAGCCTCATGGGGAAGAAGATACTCACCCGCCACGAGTCCCCTACACGGCTATGGAAAACCCTCAAACCAGCGGCAAAATCTATCAGCTTCAGGAAGCTGCTGCCAATGAAGCCAGATCCAAACCGGCCACCGCCGAAGCCGTCGTGGGGAAAGCCGCCATGGAGGCTGGCATCAACGTCTTCGGCACGATCCTCCGCCGACGCACAAGCCCCACATGATGGATTAAGCGACAACGTGACGGAGGAGGTTGTATGCGAACGTGCAATACCCGAAGCTACCTCCTCGGCGCGCTCCTCTACCGACACACAAGCCCCGCAAGATGGTACATGCGACAATGCCACCGAGGAGCTCCGGTGCAACAACACGCCCAGTGGAGCACTTGACACCGCCAACGCGGAACAGATATGGCTCAACCTCCTCGAGTTCGATCAAGAACTACGTGAACCAGTGTGGGACGCCGACGGAAACCCCAGTATACTTCCCAAGGACTTGTTGGACAATGTCGCAGTGACGCTGAGCACCTACGCACCAGATGATGTCGACATGATGTCCGATGCGCTGGGCACCCTCTTCGACCAGATGTACGGGGAGCTACAGGATATTGTGGCCAGACGACAATTTTCGATAATGGATGACAATGCAGCGAATGCGGAATCCGACGGCGAGGAGGTGCACAACGATGACAACACAGCCAATGAAGGAGCCCGGCGCACAACGGATGATCCAGTTGATGCGGAAGCGGCCAACCCGGCGGCAGAGGATGAGGACGAGACTGCCCTCATGCAAGCCACCAACCAGGC